TCTTGTCACTCTGAACATATCTGGATCCTTTATCTTGTCACTCTAAACATATCTGGATCCTTCATCTTGTCACTCTGAACATATCTGGATCCTTCATCTTGTCACTCTGAACATTTCTGGGTCCTTTATCTTGTCACTCTGAACATATCTGGATCCTTCATCTTGTCAGTCTGAACATATCTGAGTTCTTCTTCTTGTCACTTTGAACATATCTGGGTCCTTCTTCTTGTCAGTCTGAACATATCTGGGTCCTTCATCTTCTCAGTCTAAACATATCTGGCTCCTCCATCTTGTCAGTCTGTACATATCTGAGTTCTTCTTCTTGTCACTCTGAACATATCTGGGTCCTTTATCTTGTCAGTCTGAACATATCTGGGTCCTTCATCTTGTCAGTCTGAACATATCTGGCTCCTTCATCTTGTCAGTCTGAACATATCTGGCTCCTTCATCTTGTCAGTCTGAACATATCTGGGTCCTTCATCTTGTCAGTCTGAACATATCTGGGTCATTCATCTTGTCACTCTGAACATATCTGGTTCCTTCATTTTGTCAGTTTGAACATATCTGGATCCTTTGTCTTGTCACTCTGAACATATCTGGGTCATTCATCTTGTCACTCTGAACATATCTGGCTCCTTCCTCTTGTCACTCTTGGAACATATCTGGATCCTTTATCTTGTCACTCTCTGAACATATCTGGGTCATTCATCTTGTCACTCTCTGAACATATCTGGATCTTTCATCTTGTCACTCTCTGAACATATCTGGGTCCTTCATCTTGTCACTCTCTGAACATATCTGGGTCTTTTATCTTGTCACTCTCTGAACATATCTGGCTCCTTCATCTTGTCCCTCTCTGAACATATCTGGATCCTTCATCTTGTCACTCTGAACATATCTGGCTCCTTCATCTTGTCACTCTGAACATATCTGGCTCCTTCATCTTGTCACTCTGAACATATCTGGCTCCTTCATCTTGTCACTCTGAACATATCTGGGTCCTTCATCTTGTCACCCAGAACATATCTGGATCCTTCATCTTGTCACTCTCTGAACATATCTGGGTCATTCATCTTGTCACTCTCTGAACATATCTGGCTCCTTCATCTTGTCACTCTGAACATATCTGGCTCCTTCATCTTGTCATTCTGAACATATCTGGATCCTTCATCTTGTCACTCTGAACATATCTGGGTCTTGCATCTTAGTCCCATGATCCAGACACTGAAAGTGAATTAGAAGCAGATGGTTTGAAGAATAGTGGTTGTCCAATAGAAACCATAAAATGAACGTTGATGAGAGACGCCTAAGGTGCTGGTCTGGATTTCACTCATGAAAAAGAAAGGACTGCACAGGAGGTGTAGACTGTGAGCACATCATTGTGGTATGATGATGATGATTTATATTATTAACAAACTCAACGAAACATCCTTATTTTTTTTTTTTTTTTTTAACTTGCCTGTTTGTAAAATTACAGATGTGTATTTTTTATGTTTTCGGTGTCTTCCGAGTGACTTAACAGAATCATTCAATCAGACTGACTAATGTAGTATTTTATTTTTTCCCCATTGTAAATTTGAACAAAGAAAATACAGTCAACAGACTGTGCCATATGGGTATGGATCTCTGCAGGAGCGAAAGGCTGTGACAATTCGTTTGTGTGAGTCTGTAAAAAGGGGGGTGGAGGAGGGCGGGGGCATGGGCAGAGCTCCAACGACTTTAATAAATGGTCTCAGTATGTTTCTAAAGACATATAAATCATCATCATGATGATGTTGAGCCGTTATGCGAGGGGAGCTTGAAATGAGAATCTGAAAAGTGTGATGGAAATTACAGCAGCCTTGCCATTGTCTCCTAACCTGTCAGTATTGTTGTTTATGAAGTCAAGAGTGTTAAGCAGATGACGTCATGGTGAATAAGAATAGAATGGCGTCACTGTGACAGTATAAAGATGGCGGCTCCACTTTTCTATCACACCTTTCATGAATAAATTTATAGCTTCTCTGTATGCCACTTAGCGCTCCCATTTTTTTTTCTTCCATTCCCTTCTTCTAACCTGTGCAACTATTTTAATATTGTGGATGGAAATCCAGACCCACACCTTGAGCCACTCGTATCAACTTTTGTCTTAGAGTTCCCTTATGACCGCCTTGGTTTCCTTAGTCAATTTGTTTCCCATTTTAGTTCTAATTTAGTAATTATGTATCGGCTTCTCCCCAAGATGACCCAGTACGTCGCCATCTTCTTTTTTTCTTTGTTTTATATTCGTTGATACCGGCGTTCATCCAGATATTTCTTTTGTTTCATACCTTTTCTGAAGTTCATCATTTTAAATGTTCACCATTTTCCTGGAGTATTTGTTTTAAATGCATTTAACTTTCACCACAGTCTGTCTGGGTTGTTCTCCATCTGTCAGTGGTATATGCTACAGTTGAAATCACACTAACATTGAAAATAGCAATTTGAATTTAAAACGTTTTAATAACCAGTTTAATTTAATGTTGAAGATTTCAGAGCAGTTGAAGACACAAGTGGGGTTCTTTTCTGGTAAGCGACCACATCACGCAAGATTTAGGGAAATTCCATAGTATAGGGGGGGGGGGGTTAGATTTGTGGTAAATGTAAAGCGACTACTACTAACCCTAAGCCCCTGTCTTGTGGGATTTCTCTAAATCACGCGTGATGTGGTTGATTTTAACCACATACAAGTTCCGGTTGTTGTGCAGACCTCTCTCTTTATTATAAGTAGGACTTGTTCACGTTTCCAGACCCATCTACACACTTTATCAGCTGATCTAGGTCAGAGGGGTGTCAACGGCGGGGGTGGGGGGGGGGGGGGGGTTCGGTTTTAAGTTAATGCCAGTTACATGTTTCTGTTGTCGTTTAGTACAGAACAGGCGACATCGGCGCTCATGTAATTGGAGGAAGGACAACGTGACACTCCTCAGACGCAGAAGAGTGAAAAAGTATGACGAAAGGTCGGGTAGTGTGTAGATGGACCTGGAAACGTGAACAGGACTTAAAGATATTTGCAGGTCAGTAATTTGTGCGATCTGTTGTTATTCCCGCCCCTCCCCCTTCCTTCTAAAAAATTGAGTATGTCCGTTATCATAACTTTGTCTCCATGACGACAGCCGAGTATGATCTGCTGAGGTTTGTCTGTGAAAACAGACCGCAGCCTTGTCGTCTGCTGCTATCTTGTCTGAGCATGCATGTACTTTGATAGTGAGAATGGGGTCGGCGTTTGTTGTCCTGATGTTGAAGGTGAGAGTGTCGATGAAAAGAGCCATGCGTCCTGGATGACTCCATTGACGACGAAGGCCGGACTGTGTTGTCATAACATAAAGATAAGTGAATCTCTTTCGGTCCAGCAGAGAAGGCGCTGTGTCGACGGAGAGTGTCTATTTGGGACAAGAGTGGGAGGCGGTGGCCAGTATTATAAGCTATGTTGCCGTCCGAGTGGACGCAGTGACGAATGCTATGCCGGGGCCCGTTGGGGGACAAATCTGAGTATTTCTTGTTGATCCCATTGTCTGGGGTCACCGGTCGAAAGAGATTGTGTGGATCCGGAACCTGGAGTAAGTATGGAGATGGCGAATGAGATCGCGACGAGGTTGCTAAAGATGTTTTATTGCTTTCGTTGGAATAGGTGGGACTTCCCTGTTCCCGTTGTAGGTTCATTGAGAATGTGACGTCTGCAGACACACTCCGTTGATGGTTTGTGATTTGGAAACTTGGATTGATCTGGCTATGTGAATTAGTGTTTGAGTCAGCCAGACCACAGTTGGAGTCGCTAAAACTACGGCACTGTTTGGACCATCTGCATGGGTTACTGTGTATAAGGCTGGCAGTTGTTAAAGAGTTATTACTACTACACAAGCTTTGATGGCTGGAGAGAAGGCAGCTACCGTTCAAAGGGCACGGGTTTGACTCGCTGGGCGTCCGGCTTCCTCTGTATTTAAACGAACAAGCCTGATGGTTGATGTCACAAAGTTGAGAACTCACTGATCTAGATATAGTGGCCTCTTGTCGCGGACTTCCGGATAAGTCTACATAGCTTCTGCTGAAATGTTTGCTTCCACCTCTACTCCTGCTGTCACACATTGGCGACAGCAGGTGGGGCGATGGCAAGCGAGAAACTCTGGGTCTAGAAACGCGTGGAAACGGTGAGTGGGTAGGAGCTAACAAAGCGTCGGCGGCTGAGGAGCTCGAGTTTATTGACGTGTTACTGTGATGTCTGTATGCTGGGTTAGAATTCTGCACCGTTACGGTAGGCGTCACGGGGATAGGTCTTGAGGATCTGGCCAAGGCAACTTTCTTTAAAAGGCGGGTTTGTTCATTGTACATTGTCTGTCCCAGTTTGGATAGCCTCTTCTTATCCTGACGACGCTCACAATTGTTGGGAGCTATCAAGGGATCTACGTTTTCTTTATCTGTTTTCTCAAGAAGAGCCGCCGTATGTTCTGTGGTATTGTTATTGTCATGTCTGTCTTTACTGCACATCCATGTTCTTGTAGCGTTGATAAGGTTCTTGATATCATTCTCCTTTGTTTGATTGATAACAGCTTCATAGGCACTTAAGATCTGACTAGACAAAGAACTAGACAGAACAGGTAAACTATTATTCCAGGTGTGTGGTAAATCAAGTAGCGGGATCGGTTGAGGAGTTCTTGGACACACTAGAGGGCAGCTACACGGTTTGTTCATTGCCAGAAGTCCGTGGCTTCTCAAGGACAACATCAAACTAGCAAAATCCTGTTGACTGCGGGATGCTAAAGGCATGTTTTGTACCCATTGAGCCGTGGCTGCTCGAATATCCATTTCCGATTTCGGTAAATGATGTAAAAAGTCATGGGGGTCTAAACAACACGGCGAGTGACACTGGAACTGTTCTTGGTATACTCCAGCTTGATCCGGGGTTGGGAACTTGAAAATTATCCCGTCTTCGGGACCACAACCTGGAAGAGAGTAGGGACTCAAACAGTCTTGTCCATCAGGGTTCAACTGATTGTGAGCAAAAGGAGACTGAGGTTGGCTTTGAGGGGGGATGCTTCGATGACAATACTCGGATTAACAAGGTTTCTAATAATGCTGTTATTATTGCTGTTGTTGTTGTCACTACTGCAGTCCTTGTCTTCGTCAGAACTTTTGATACCAATGCTCGACTCTTCATCTTCCCCAAACATCCGCTTGATGAGGTGGACGAGGCATTTACGGATTTTGCTTTTATAGATCAAGTACAGGAGAAGCCAAAGTAGAATTCCACCGAGAACTGCGGCAGTGTGGAGGCCGATGGAAGGATCGTAGGATTGGTAAAACTCTCGGCTCAGCTGCTCGTAGCTGAGAGTCGAGGTACTAAAGTTGTTGCTGTGGGTGGCGGTTAAGTTGGTATTGCTGCTGACGCCCCTGGAGCTGTAAGAGTTTGCTTGTATGTGGATAACAAGTGTTCCATTGACCGAAGAGACAGCAGTTCTGGTAAGAAATGAGAATTGAACATAATATTAAACAGCTTTAAAGAAGGGAAAACAATTCTCTAATTCGTTTATCCAATCATTCATGCAATCATTGTTTGTTCCTTCCATCTATTCATTCTGCCGTTCATACATAAAGTTTTTTTTTTTTTTTTTTTTTTCGATTCGACAATAGCTCAGAATAGTACAGTGAAATCGGAGGTACGACGAGGAGTCGGAAAAAGACCTGAGCTTGAACCCAGCTCCACCAGTTACTACTGTTGATGCTTCTACTGATGCGAACACTACTATTGTTGCTGATTCTACGACTACTATTGGGGAGGAAGGGGTGGCAAGGACATTTCAAAGAGTGTGTCAAGCAGTATTGATTTTGAGTGCAATTGTGCTTGTAATAATCGTTATGTGAGCATTTCCTTTCAAATTTAATTACAGATGACAATTTAACAATCACAAAAACAGAACAGCGCTGCCGGCTTGATGTAGAGAGGGATCTCCCTTGTGTGTCGTCCAACATCAGATCCAACAATAGCAGAGATCGTCAAGGCAGAACATGGTCAACCATCTGAATGACCACTTGATGATTTTTTTTATATTTGTTGACACTTTGACTTATTTGGACGTTTTTCTGCAAGCTTTTGTTAACAGTTCTAGTGATTTTTTCCCTTCCCTTGAAGGTCTCTTCTTTCAATGACATTTTTTTAAAAAGTTGGATGGAGGTGATGTTGGTGGTGGTGGTGATGTTGGTGGTGGTGGTGGTGGTGGTGGTGGTGGTGGTGATGTTGTTGTTGGTGGTGTTAGTAGTGGTGATGGTGTTGATGGAGACTGAAAGGGGGTGGGGAATAAGTATCTAGCTAGATATTCAAGGGAGAGGACGTATCTTTTACAGGACGTTGCAGTATCAATCCAACCATCTTTTGGATGTGTGGTTTATATGTATGCCTGTGCGTATATATGTATGTGTGTACGCGTGTATGTGTGTATGAGTGTGAATGTATAAGTAGGTATTTATGTATGCTTTATGTATGCATTTGTGCGTGTTTGGTATGTGTGTATATTTGAATGTTTACATTCACCATCCTTTAAAAAAAAAAAAAAACAACCTTATACTGATAACAAGTATACTGTTTTATGAGCCCAACCTGATTTAAAGACAATATATCAGTATGAAAGATGCGTGTTTGGAAAAGCCGAATGTCAGACAGGCCTGCCTGCCCAGTTTATGACACTATGAAAATAGAATTGGTTCGGTCCTACTATCTACACGGCAGTTGCAGGCTGTAGTTGGGAAGAGCGGCCGACCGAACTGGTAAGGACGCCGGCCTCTGACTCGACAGACCCTGGTTTAAACCGCAAAAAATTCATAGATTTTTTTGTGTCGGGGGCAAACAAATAGAATCCTTACCTGCACAGTTTGTGGCGACTGCATTAGCCAGGCGCCCTAAATCCTAAATCTCAAGACCATCTGTCCGACTTCTTGATCTTCTTGCAGTTACTTCATCGAAGTGTTAGGCGAGATGCAAGTATCATCCGTCTGCTCTTTCCAATGTGTTGTATAATTTGGTCTTCATATGGTTGAGGCTTTTCATGATACTATCGGTCCATTCTTTGTGTGATCTTCCCATTGCTCTGTCCACCGTATTTATTCTCCGTGACTCTCTATGGCAGCTAGTACTAGAGGCACTCTCATCAAATGGCCAAACTATCTCATCTGTTTCTCTTTAATAAACTGTATGAATGGATTTAGGCTTCGTCTTCTTTTAATTTCCCAATTTTAAATTTTAGCTTTTCATGTTACTCCAGCATCTCATCTGAGATATCCTATGTCTGTTTTGACCCCCTGCTCCCAATTAGTTTTATAGTAAGAGTCCACGTTTGACACTAGTAGCATTAGGTTGCCCCCCCCCCCCCCCCCCCCCCCCCCCCACCCCCCCCCCCCCCCTCCCCCCCACCCCCCCCCCCCCCCCCCCCCCCCCCAAAAAAGTTTTTTTTCAGACACCAATTGGCATTCTCCTTCCAAGTCGGAGTGCATCTGTACGTGCGGGAAAGAACAACCAACTGCACACAAATAAGCCAGTAAAATGTTGTGTACGCGCAAAACGCAGGCCCTGACACAAAGTCGGAGTCCAAATAGACGAACAACCAGGACTTTCCGCCGGAACCTACAGCCCGGGGAACAAAGAAGAAAAAAACAAATGCCCTACACAGACCCAAGAAGTGGTCAATACAAGGAGTAAAGACACATTTGGGGGAAGGGGGGTGGGGGTTGAATTTGTCCCTGAGTTGTCACTAACTGGCTGTTTCTGGAAAGACATAAATAGGCGCGATTGAAGTCACGCTGATGACAAGAAGTCTAAAAAAAAATGTGGCTAGAAAATTCAACGGAGGAAATTTGAAATACGCGCACAAATACAACCGAACAATTCGACCAAAGTCTCTACGGAGTTTTAAATACAGGACACACTGTGAGTGGAAAACTAAACAGACAAGAGCTGGTATCATTTCCAAAATGGAAGTGTGAAAGTGTTCATTGCAGGATCATCCTGATTCTACATGGGTGTATCCATAAGTAGGGTGACTATTTTATAAAACGGGACATCCCACTCATATTTTGAGCTGAAAACAGGACATCCCAAGCGAGTCCGCCGACCCCTCCCCAATCTAGAATATATTATTATTGTTGCTATTATTATCAATCATTAAGGTACTAATTTATGCAATCTTTCTTTATCAGTTGAGACGAGAAAGAGAATTCGTAAAATTCATAAAAATCCTTTATTGATATACAGGTGTGAATCAAGGACAGTAAATTTGTGAAAAAAATTTTTTGAAGCTGTGGAGATGTGGTTTTACAGACGAATGATGAGAATACCCGGGACAAATAAAAAAGAGTAATGAAGACGTCTTGAAAAAAACTGACTCTCGAAGAGAAGTGATTGTCCACACCAGAAAGAGACAATCTACATTGTTTTTCTCATGTGATGAGAAGGAGAAAACTGGAGTACATCGTGACAGTAGGAAAGTTGGAGGGGAGGAGAGGCAGAGGGAGACCGAGAGAACAGATGCTGGACAGTTTGACATCACGGCATGAACAATCTTATGTTTCAGAGTTGATTGAAAGTACGCGAGACAGAAGGTTGTGGATAGACATGACTACCAACGCCACACAGGAGGTTGTGGATAGACATGACTACCAATGCTATACAGGAGGTTGTGGATAGACATGACTACCAACGCCACACAGAAGGTTGTGGATAGACATGACTACCAACGCTATACAGGAGGTTGTGGATAGACATGACTACCAACGCTATACAGAAGGTTGTGGATAGACATGACTACCAACGCTATACAGGAGGTTGTGGATAGACATGACTACCAATGCCATACAGGAGGTTTTGGATAGACATGACTACCAACGCCATACAGGAGGTTGTGGATAGACATGACTACCAACGCCACACAGAAGGTTGTGGATAGACATGACTACCAACGCCATACAGGAGGTTGTGGATAGACATGACTACCAACGCTATACAGGAGGTTGTGGATAGACATGACTACCAACGCCATACAGGAGGTTGTGGATAGACATGACTATCAACCCCATACAGGAGGTTGTGGATAGACATGACTACCAATGCTATACAGGAGGTTGTGGATAGACATGACTACCAACCCCATACAGCATGGACTTTAAGAACAAGAAGAAGGTACTAATACATTTTAAAAACACGAGAATATAAACGTATTAAAAACAAAATTCTAATAAAGTCTACATTTATAACTATAACTGATATATTGTGTTCTCGAGCTTATTCCCAGATTATTTTATGTCTCTTTATTAAACGGGACAACTAAAGTCATTCTAGAATATCCACGGGACAGTCGAGACGACGAAAAACCAAGACTGACCGGGGAAAAAGAGGCGCATAGTCATGCACCCTATATAATTGCTGCGATCTTTTCCCGAGCATGTCTATTAATGTGGTTATGCTGATGACTTCCCTGCCGGACTGGTTGTTGCAGCCACTTGGGTGCTCTTACGTGATTTTCACGTCGGGCAACTCTAACGCATCTACCCAGACTTGGCATCGGAGTCAGGGAGAATTCTGTATCCTCACGTTTGAGGTCTTCCACCCGTGTTAACTTTTATATAGCATCAATTATGTCCTTTCTGTCCATTAAAGGTCCACTATCGATGGCAGTACTGCTTGCAGGAGCGTCCTATCTCTCATTGCCTTTTATGTCCTCTAACCCCAGCATATCCAGGAATGAAAAATGGATATTACAATTACGATATTCTAACTTTATATAAATATATATATCCAAGTAAAGGATACTTATCCACGCCTACAGGGGTATTGGGTATATTAGGCTAGACATATTTTATAGACAAATCGGCACTTAGTGGGTCATGTGGTCAAGCCTTGGGAAGCCAACGCCTTAACCTCCCAGTTTTGTACCTGGTACCCACTCAATTGTACACAGTTTGAGACGGCCTCTGCAAAAGTTCGTTTAGCTACAAAAAACGAGCCCTGTCTTCGTCAGGACCCGAACCACGACCTTGCGATCTGAAGGTGAGCATCTGGCCACTACACCACGGCGACTGCCATATTTAAAGTCAGGTAAGCCCGAGTTGTTTTCGGGTTAATAACCTGATTTTATAAATCCGACATACCGATTCGATTCAACTACAGACGATTTCACCGCAGTAGCACTTATGGCGTTAGTGGGTTCAGCAGACATGAAAGCGGTTAGTGGGTTTAGTAAACAGGGGAAAAAATAACCCCATTGAACGTTAGTGGGTTTAGTAAACTCCAGTTTTTGGCGGTTATGAGGTTAGTAGCAATGATGGTTGGTTAGTTGGTTTACGAGACAATCTTTAGCGGTATTACGTTTAGTAAGACAATTTCTGGCGGTTAGTGGGTTTAGTAGACAATTATGGGCGGTATCCCTGGGTTTAGTAGACAAATTATGGCGGTTTAGTGGGTTTAGTAGACA